CATTACAGGATTGCCCAATTCTCGCCGGAAGTTCGATTCTATTTGGGTCATTGTGGATAGGCTGACGAAATCAGCTCACTTTCTCCCAGTTAGGACCACCTATTCAGCTGAAGACTATGCGAGACTGTATATCAAGGAAATAGTTCGGCTACATGGAGTTCTGCTTTATATTATATCTGACAGAGGTGCCCAATTTAAAGCTAATTTCTGGAGGTTTTTTCAAGAAGGTTTGGGTACTCTTGTTAACCTTAGTACAACATTTCATCCGCAGACCGACGGACAAGCCGAACGCACTATTCAGACGCTCGAAGATATGTTGCGAGCTTGTGTCTTAGACTTCAAGGGAAGTTGGGAAGATCATTTACCGCTTATTGAGTTTGCCTACAACAATAGTTATCACGCCGGTATTCAGATGGCACCCTATGAGGCACTATATGGGAGGAAAAACAGGTCTCCTATTGGCTGGTTTGATGTTGGAGAGACAAAGTTGCTAGGACCTGAATTGGTACAGCAAGCTGTAGAAAAGGTAAAGTTGATCCAGGAAAGGTTGCGTACAGCTCAAAGTTGACAGAAATCATATTCAGATAACCGACGTCGAGACTTGAAATTTGTTGTGGGAGACTGGGTATTCTTGAAAGTGTCGCCTATGAAGGGTGTAATGAGATTTGGCAAGAAGGGAAAACTCAGTCCTAGATATATCGGGCCATATCAGATTGTTCAGAGAATTGGGCGAGTAGCCTACAAACTTGACTTGCCACCGGAATTAGACGCAATCCATCTGTTATTTCACGTTTCCATGCTTCACAAATTTTTAGGTGATCCTTCTTGCATCAGCTCTATTGAGGATATTCAAGTTACCGAGGACTTGTCATATGAAGAAATACCTGTTGCCATTCTTGACCGTCAAAATCCGTAAGCTACGGACTAAAGAGGTAGCCTCAATAAAAGTACTTTGGAGGAACAATAATGTAGAGGAAATGACATGGGAGGCCGAGGAGGACATGAAGTTCAGATACCCTCATTTATTTAAGTCTTCAGGTGATATGCTTGAGACAAATATGGCAGGTGTTGCACAAATATCAACCAGTGACAGCTGAGGTAATTAAGTCATGGCTAACCTTATTATTATTATTATTGTATAAGTAAATGGTCGTATGGTGCCAAGTTGATGTTATTATGATGATGTGTAGCCCTGTGTGGCCTTGGATATGTATGTTTGGGCTGATGACAGGTTTTGGATAGTCCTATTTATGGGGGAAACTCTGGCGAAAGTTTTTTTTAAAAAAAATTTCAGAAGTTAGGTTAACCACTAATATTCGAGGACGAATGTTCTTAAGGAGGGGAGAATATTACACCTTGTCTATTCGGCGTTATCATGTTGTAAAAGGGCTAATTTGATAGGAAGATAATTTCTATGAGATATTTAAATGATGCGATAGGTATACGTTAAGATTGGAAGTCATTCGAGTTGTGATTAAAAATTCGACAAAGATCACCGCAAGTTACGGGTTTTAAATTTCACTGAAATTTGGATAAAATGTTGATGAGCTTCTCTCTCAATATACTAGAAGTTATGGTGTGTTCTACCCACCGAATCGAAGGACTATGAGTCTAGTTTCCAACTCAATAAACTGTTCATTAATACGACTTTGGAGTAGAGAGATATTAACATTTTCGTACAGGGGTGCACACTGTTACGAGAACAGTGTGCTTAGTCGATTTTAGTTAAAATTTATTTTATTTAAGTCAATTTAAAACAAAACCCCTGCGTTTTATCCTCTCAAAAACAGAACATAAAACCTAGGGATTTCCTCTCAAACCCCTCCCATCCATCTAGCCAATCATAACAACAATTTAGTCATTCTCAAGATAGAGAACACCATGGTAACTTCGGAATCGTGAATTCTTCGGTGTTTCACTTTTCGTAGGAAGACTCCGCCTTGAAGTAATCTCGAATTTAAAGTAATTCTGATCACATAAGGTATGATTTAACTTCCTCTTTGATCTTTGTAAACTTCTACCTTAAGAATTCTTAAGAAATAGTTGAAACCTCTATAGAAATGTTCTTGATTTTTTTAAGAAACCTCTCTTAATATGACTTGATTGTTGGGGTTGTTCTATATAGTTTTATTGTGTTGTTTGGATCTGTGAAGACATGAATGGAATCGTGTCGATGAAGAAATATAGTAAAGTAAAAATTGGGTGGTGTGTTGGGGGAAATTAAACTACAAAAGATTCTACAAATTCATGCCCGCAAGTTGTTCGCTTAAATGTCTAAATGAAGAATTATATAAGATATGAGCTTGAATTTGATATTGAATGGTTCGTATTATGTAGGAAATCATTCCTAAGGCTTTCGAGGTCTCGGAAACCTTATATAACTCCATCGACAAGGTATGTAGGGTTTTCGCTATACTTTTCGGCATGACTAGAATTCGAATAATCGTTTATCGAATTGTTTCATCGGATTCGAGTTATTTCACCTTCAACTTATAAAGATGCTTAGACCTGATCCTTTATCATATATTGCTTACTTCATAGAATATCTACGAATTCTCAATTTTCCTTGTTCCTTGCTTAAAAAGAACTAGAGCCTTTTTACATGTTCTCCTTTCGACGTTCATATAAATCATGAATAAGTAACATTTACTTCAAAGGTACTCATAATACATAACTTTCATGTTCTTAGTAATTGTTGGCTCGTAGTTGGAAATTAAATATTTTAGCGACAACCATGATAGTCGGGAAATAATGATGATAGGCCACTTCGACTCTTCTTAGAATGCGTCTTTTAAGGTTAGTTTCGCATTGCACTTATATAATTCATGATTTAATATATGTATGTATTTACTTTCATTACCGAGCCACACCATAGACGGCCGGCTATGACACCTATTGTGTAACCACTGATCAGTTGGGATTACAGAGCTTCACGTGGCCGGGTACGATTCTACCGAGCCTTTATTATGGCCGGGTATGTTATGGATATTATAGCCCCACAAATGGATTTATTATTATATAATATGATATATTATAAGTAGCGATAGTGAGCGACGATTCCACGAGCATACATTTATATCCATGTTAAATTTTAGTTTCCTATCGAGGCTAGTTTCAGAATTCAAATTGTCTCTATATCTCTTCTCTTATTAATTACATTTTTCATGTTACACTTGTCGCCCTACATATTCAGTACATATTTCGTACTGATGCCTTTTTATGCATTGTGTTCATGCCCACAGGTTCGAATAGACAGAGCGGCGTGCCTCCTCAGTAGGACCCCCAGGATCAGCGTTGGGTTTCGCACTCCACTTCTTCGGAGTTGCTGACTTTGAGTCCATAGGTACTATTACAGATGTATATGTGTAGTTTTGGGAATGTCGAGGGACTTGTCCCGGCCTGTTGAGATTGTCTTACACTCTTAGAGGCTTGCAGACTAGCGGTCATTGCATATATATATATATATGTCGTTTTGGGCTCTTCTACCTTCAGGTTATTATTTTTCAGATCATAGATCATGGTTGGTTCGCTCGGGCCTTTGGGCATCGGGTGTCGGTCACACCTACCAAGATTGGGGTGTGACAATGAGTCACATCATTCCCCTAGTCTAGGTTCCATAAATGAGAAAACTGATCCAATTGCTATGCAAGTTGAAAAAAATCCGAATTACAGAGGCAAAAAACCTTTTCAGCAGTGTGAGTATTGTGGACTTAAAGGGCACACAAAGGACAATTGCTACAAGATCATTGGTTACCCGGAGGATTTTAAGGGAAGAAAAAATTCAACATGCTAACAATGTTAGGAGCTAGTATGGTCGTGGTAATGGTGGTTCTGGAGGACAATTTGGTCATGACACTCAACAGTCCTTTAATGCTACTAACAATATTTTTGCTCAGTCACAAGGTTCTTCAGGGAGTGACCTGCACAGCACTCTTGCTGGCAAGGGACCATACTTCACAGAGGAGCAGTATAGATGGATTCTAGGATTGCTGAACAAAGAGACTTGTGATAGCCAAGCCAACATGGCAGGGATTGATGCTTGTTTGATGTCACACATACTCACAAATGACTGGATCATAGACTCTAGTGCGACTAATCATATAGAAGCTACTGAAAAATTGTTAAATGATGATCCTAAGGCTAAGAAGCCATATAAGGATAAGGTTCACTTACCCATAGGGGATAAAGTTAGAATTTCATGTTAGTCAAGCACTTCTATTTGGAGGAGAGGCGGTAGACAATGTGCTTTATGTTTCTGACTTCAAGTTCAATCTTTTGTCAGTCTCTAGTTAACCAGGCAGTTCTCATGTTGAGTGAATTTTTTTTCCAACTTTATCTTGTTTCAGGACCTCTACACTAGCAGAGAGAAAGGGATTGGTAGAGAAAATATTGAATTGTACATATACAAGGGAGCAGGAGACATTAATAAGAAGAAGATACATGGTTTGACAGTACCTATAACTGAGGAGGATTACAGACATTGGCCCATGAGACTTGGCCATCATTCAGCTGGTGCAATAAAGACTATGGGGTTAGGAAGTGTTGTAAATAATGATATGTTGAATAAATGTGTTGTCTGTCCATTGGCCAAATAGACTAGACTAGCATTTCCCACTAGTGATTCTAGAGTTGAGTTTTCATTATCTCTTGTTCATATGAAGCTCTGGGGACCTTACAAAATTGATACATTTGCTAAAAAATACTACTTTTAACCGTTGTGGATGATTTTAGCAGATACACATAGGTATATTTACTGCAGCTTAAATCAAAAATCATAATTGCCATTAAAATAATTTTAAGATGGAAAAGAACCAATTTGGAACAATGGTAAAGATCTTAAGATCTGATGATGGCATAGAATTTTTTAACTCTCAGTGTAATGAACTTTTGCAAAATGTTGGAATAGCACATCAAAGTAGTTGCATTCATACTCCACAACAAAATGGTATAGTGGAGAGGAAGCATAGACACATATTAGATGTGGCAAGAGTGTTAAGGTTTCAGTCCCATATGCCTGTTAAATACTGGGGTATTTGTACCACTGCAGCAGTGTACCTGATCAATAGAATACCATCTTTAGCCATTGAAAAGTCCATATGAGATGATGTACTGTAAATCTCCATCCTTAGGACATCTGAGAGTGATAGGTTGTCTCTGCCATGCCACTGTGGTGTCCAAGGGTGACAAATTTACTACAAGAGCAAAGTCTTCAGCATTCATAGGATACTCTAAGAAGCAAAAAGGCTATGTGCTAATGGAATTGGCCACTAAGCAATTCTTTGTTAGCAGGGATTAGGTATTCAGGGAATTAGAATTTCTCTTTGATCCTCTGATTATAGTAATTAGACAGAATTTCACATACTTACCCTCTCTATGACTATCTCTGATTCACCAAACAATATTCCAAATCCATCAGTCCTAGGCCTAGGCCTTCTACCTAAAGTTCTAAGAATTTGTAGGAGTCATTGACCTTTCTTCTGTAGTTCTAGATTGTTATGTTCCTGATCCACCATCAACAGTAGTTTCAGAATTTCTTTGTGTTGCAGATCTTGATGTTGCAATAGTAGCAGATTGTTATGCTACAGATCCAGCATCAGTAGTAGTACTAGAATGACATCTTGATGCAGCTGTTGTAGCCTGGGCATTTGCAATACTACTCCCAACACCGGCACTTGAACTTTGCTCTTTCTAAAACATCCAGAATATAAAAATTTAGAAAAAGACTAAAAAACACTTAAAGCATAAGAAGTATTTGATTCTTACCAAGATCGCACAACCTTTCTTGTTATGCCCTGTTGTCTTGCAATAAGAACAGGTCATTGGTGTTCTCTTTCTTGATCTCTTACCAAATTTCTTTATAGGTTCATCTTGGGTCTTTATTTTATGTTTCTTAGGTCTACCAGGCATCTTAGTAATTACAGGAGGCTCAACTTTGGGGTTTTGAGTTGAAGTCCACATCTCCATATTGGCCATAGGTTGTATGCAACAAATGAATGCCTTGAAGTATGTTTTATCCTTATACCAATGCTCAACATAGTCAGTAGTGTCATACTTTTTTAAAAAAATTGCACAAAATGTATGGGAGCAGGGTATGCCTTTCAGTTGCCACATTCTACATGTGCATTCCTTCTTTACAAAATCAACTATGTGTTTGTAAATTCCATCTTGGATCTCAAATTCAGTGTCCCCATTCCATTTATATTCATGCTTGGTGGCTCTTATAGATTGCTCTTCAGTGTACCCCAGTGCCATATGAGATATATCAGAAATCCATTTTGTAGCAAATTCTCTCATATTAGTCATCCTCTCTGTTACCTTTACTCTGATCTCTTCCAACATGGTTATGATTGGCTTGTGCCTAGAAGTAAGTATCCAACTGTTGAAGGTTTCACACATGATGTTCTCCATAACATCACACTTACTACAGTCCTTAAAAAAGGCCTTGCACCATGACTGTTTGGGATATCTAAGCAAGTCTTTTATTATCTTATTGCCACTCAATTCTGGCAACTCATCTAGTTTAACCTTCAGAAATGCTTCAAATGAAGCTCTTGCACAATCCCAGAACTTTTTCCTTCTTTCCTCACCACCCCAGGTTCTTTTCCAGTTGCTCCATATATGTTTTACACACATTCTATGCTCAGCATTTGGCATCAATTCATATACAGCTTGAACAAGTCCCTTGAACAACAAAAATACACTGTTAGAGTTCATCCAATGCAATCTTAAATATTAAAGTAAAAACTAAGATTAAGACAATACACATACCTTCTACATATCAGACATAATTGTTAGTCCTTCACTTTCAGATTCTATCAGTTTCAAGTCATCCATTAGACACCTAAAAAATCAGGACCAACTATTCTTGGACTCTTTCTCAACCACTGCCCAAGCAACATGGTACCTCTGGTTATTACCATCCTTAGAAATGCATGACAATAGCTCACCTTTACACACTCCCTTCAGAAATGCACCATCAAATCCAATTACTCTTCTACACCCTTCTAACCAACATGTTTTCAAAGCATATAAACAAATGTATATCCCCGCAAAGATCTCTTTACTAGGTTCTATTTCTTTTGAAGTTCTCGCCACAATAGTGCTGCCTGGGTTGGTAGTTCTTATCATGTCAGCATAATCATAAATCCTAGAAAACTCCATTTTGTAATCACCTAAATACTTATCTATTACCTTCTATCTAGCCTTGTCACATATTATTTTTCCTACATATACACCATACTTAATCCTTATCACCTCTTGCAACTTCTTGAGCTTTATGTCAGGCCGACTGATGATTGTATCTTTATAACATTTAACTATCCAAGATGTGTTAGCAAGATTATTCCTTGTGACTAGGAAGCATGAATGGACAGGGTAGCATGTGTTAAAAAGGAAGTTCTGTGTGTGCCCATGTAAACTGCCTAAAATATGCCATCTACATCTACTAGAGTTCAAACATCTTGCCCTGACCCTATTCCTCTCATTTGGTCTCAACGTTAACTGAACTCTCCTCTGTACAACATAGTCTTGTAAAACATATCTGAATTGTCTAACATTTTCAAAGACCATTCCTTGTTGGAAAATAATTTTCTTACAGTTAGGGTCAAAGTAGACCTTTCTACTGTATCTTCTTGGAGGAAGGTTATGCATCTCATCATCTGCCTATGCATCTACGTCATCATCAATACTATCCTCACTCCCTAGATCTGAACTATCTAGGTACTGTTCATCCCCTCCCAATTTGCTAGCATATTTAGCAGTCTTGTCCTTGTAAATGTCTTCAAATCCAGGGTCAATGCCTATAGGGCCACTAGGTAGCTCATCTACATTAACATCACTAGATCTCTCTTGCCAGTTATTCTGATTTACTTTGGTCTGTCTAGCAGCAACAAGGTCAGCTTTTATATCACTTGTCTCTCCAACAACATCATCATCAGCATCATAAAGTGAGTCATATGTATACTCTTCAGTAGAAACAGCCTCATATTCACCATCCTCAATCCCAGAATTACTCTCAAATTCATCAGAATCTTAATTTGTGGCTAGATAAAAGTTGTAGAACTCTCCTTCATCCTCAGTAGAAACTTCTATATCAGTAGCCCTCCCTTTACCCTTCCCCTAAGTGAAACAACCACTATTTATATTATTGGTAGGTGAGTTTTTTGTCCTAGCATTAACTCTACTTCACTAAAGCCAGTTATTTGGTCATATTGGATATCACTGGGGTCCGCACCACTACTTAACATTCATCCAATTCAATATCAACACATGGTATATTAATAGTGTGACATAAATAAACATCAATAAATCCCCATCATGAAGGTCTTTGCAGAATTCTAACGCATCAGCATCATACTTAATAAATCGAAATGGTCCTTTTTTATTGACTCGACATGCAAATTTCTCCACATCCAAGTACCCCATATCATTTGCCTATTTGTTGAATTGAATAACATGCAATTCATCAGTGTCAACAGTTACAATAGAAGGCCATGTTATACCATTTTTATACCTCATTAATGGGCCAGCTACCAGTTGTCGCTGATGGTGAAATTATAATTTCACAAGAACAATCATCCTGCCTCACTACGCTTATGAAAATAAGATAAGATAAGTCCAAATTAGTAAAATATTCAAAAAAAAAAAAGAAACAATATTGTTTGAAAAAGAACAAGCAAATGTTGGGAAAAAAATCCTAACTTTATCACTTTAAGAGACAAAAAAATTTCAATATGATAAAAAGCCCTAATTGTTTATCCCTATATGCCAAATAAACAATGGAACCAACAAAATCCAGAGAAAAAATAAGAATTTAGTATATTATTCCAAAAATCCCTAATTTTAAACCCTAAATAACGAAGAACCATTGCATGCATACAAAACATTATTCTACCATGACCAACTTCAACAACGACTAAAAATACACTTAAAAACCAGAAATTTCATGAAAGACAACAATCAGAACTTTAATGACTTCCTATATTTTTGATGGAGGAGAAAGGGACGGTACACGATTGTCTCAGATTCTTGTTTTAGGACCGATTTTGAAAGAAAAAGGCATAAACACAACCTTCAGATGATCTAATGAAATCCTATGACAACGTTCACTCCATTTTGAGCAAAAGAGTGAAAATGTTAGGGGGGAATTGAGAGAGACGACTGAAAAAAGTGAAAATGAAATTAGTGTTTTAGGGTAAAAATGAATGGGAAATATTGATACTTAGTGGGTTTTCCCGCCTAACACGTGGCATGTTTTTATTCGTTTATGGCTGACTGGGTTGCTATGTTTGTGAAATTGTAATGCACGCGCATTGAGTCATAGGTCGGAGATGTTTATTAGTTCATCTATGCTCAAGTTTAAGTGTTCATATAAAAATTTTGAAAGTTCATTTACCGGCATGACAATTGTGTACAAGTTTAAATGGCCAGGAGGCCTTTTTGCCTTATCAATATTGTCCAACAAGTTATAGCATAGCATATAAGTTGTCACTTTTACCATATTACCTGCTTATTATTGAAATTTACTCGTAATTATGGTATAAGCGAATAATTCGTAGCTCACAACTGTAGTGGTGAAAAAATAGATTAAAAAATAGTTATCCATCCATATTATCTATTAAACAGTTATGCATTCACTTATGGGTCAATTGGTTTTGTGGCTCTTTACAAACTTATTTTTAGTTTTATGACCCTACCTCTTTTTTTACACATGAGAGATTTACTTTTATACGTAAGAGATGTGTCTTTTACACATAAGTGATCTAAAAAGGTCATTTTTTTTAATTTTAAAATTGTAAAGGAGCATGATGTACAAATAGTACTTAAAAATGGGTTGGATAATAAACTTTTTAAAATGGGTCAAATATGGATAATACTCATACTATCCACTTAAAAATGGATAACCAATGGATCTAACTTTACATTTGCAACGACTCAAATTTGTGGTTCTGTATATTGTGTAAAATTTAGAGTTTACAGGTGGATGTCTCTCGAGCAGGCATGTGGCAGTGGAGACATGATGGATATGAGTCACTACTCAGCTAATACCGAATACAGATATGCGACCGATATTATGTGAATTTCGAGGATATAAAGATTGGAGAAGTAAATTTGAAAGCAAGGCACCAGTTGAAGAAACTAACATTGAAGAAGCAATCGTTATAGAAAATCTCAGCATTTATTCCCAGCATTATGCAACCATCAAAAGGGGGTTCTATTCATTCTTTAAGAGAGCGAGATTTGAGGATCTTGTCTCCTCAAATTTTACTATATATAACAACATTTTTACTCATTAAAGGGATATGAAATACAAGGATTATAGAAGTGGTCTCTCTTTCTCTTAGTACAATACATAGTTGGGGGAAGTGCACAGTTAGCCACTAATAAGACATGTATTTACTTTTAAGCCACTGTTTAAAATGTCTTTAGTCTTTAGTCACTGCTTTAATAAACTTTACCCGCCTGGACAAAAATACCCTTCTGCTCATAAAGTTCAGGACCAAGTGTCCTTAATTTATGAGCTTGTTACTGTAAGTCCAGCCCTAGCTGTCCTTAATTTATGAGCTTGTAAGTCTAAGTTCAGGACTACATGTCCTTTACTTTTGAACTTGAAACTCGAAGTTCAAGACTATCTATCCTTAATTTCTGTACTTGTAACTCTAAGTTAAGGACCAAGTGTTCTTAATTTTTGAACTTCCAACTCTAAGTTCAGGACCAAGTGTCCTTAATTTATGAGCTTGCTACTGTAAGTTCAGGACTAGATGTCCTTAATTTATGAGCTTGTACTAAGTTAACTACTTGTCCTTAGTTTTTGAACTTGTAACTCTAAGTTCAGGACTATATGTCCTTAACCTTTGAACTTGGAACCCGAAGTTCAGGACTACCTATCCTTAATTTATGTGCTTGTAACTCTAAGTTCAGGACTATATGTCCTTAACCTTTGAACTTGGAACCCGAAGTTCAGGACTACCTATCCTTAATTTATGTGCTTGTAACTCTAAGTTAAGAACTGCTTGTCCTTAGTTTCTGTGCTTGTAACTCTAAATTAAGGACCAAGTGTCCTTAATTTTTGAACTTCCTGTTGGGGTTTCAAGTATATTAAATGCTTAAAAGAGGGTGAATGGAAATGGAGGGAAATGAAATTTTAAGTTCCCCCCCCCTCCCCCGGATGAATACATTGTCCCATATTGGAAGAGGAAGAGGGTTTTAATGGTTATATAAGCAATTTCTCTTCTTCTAACTCTTCAAGAGTTGAAAAGAAGGCAAGCCTCGCGTCGTCGCCGTCGTCGCTTGCTCGGCTTCGGCTTCAACTTCGGATTTGGTCAAATGATTGATTGATTAATTTTGTGGATCAAATTTGTTTGTTAATGAAATGTTATTAAATATCCGTTTTAATAACAAAATATTAATATTAAATCCAATAATATTAATATTAAATCCGTTTCCACTTTTTCCTTTTTTGTTTTGGTAACAAAAAATTAACTACCCTCTTCAATTTTCCCTCTTTATTTTCCCTCTTTATTGTTGAGTAAATAGCATTTCGGATTTGGATTTGGATTTGGTCAAATGATCGATTGATTGATTAATTTTTTGAACCAAATTTGTTTATTAATAGTAAATGTTAACAGAAATGTTATTAAATATCCGTTTTAATAATAAAATATTAATATTAAATCCAAGAATATTAATATTAAATTCGTTTCCACTTTTCTATTTTCTATTTTGGTAACAGAAAATTAACTACCCTCTTTAATTTTCCCTCTTTATTTTCCCTCTTTATTGTTGAGTAAATAGCATTTCGATTTTAAATTTGGATTTGGATTTGGTCAAATGATCGATTGATTGATACAGAAATGTTATTAAATATCCGTTTTAATAACAAAATATTAATATTAAATCCAAGAATATTAATATTAAATCCGTTTCCACTTTTCCCTTTTCTATTTTGGTAACAGAAAATTAACTACCCTCTTCAATTTTTCCTCTTTATTATTGAGTAAATAACCATTTATGTTATGACATTAATGTTATGGTCGTTTGCATAAACAGCCATTCTGAAAAGATGCGCCTCTTCAGATTTCAACCCAACATTGGCTATAAATACAAGTCCATTCTATCAGATTTTTCGTATGATTTTCTGAGTTTCTCCTACTTCTTTTGCA